CGACAGGTCTGGACCACTCGTAAATTTTGTTCATATCTGAAAAAAATCTTAGAATACGAAAACATTGGTGAATGCCACAAATTCTCCTAAATCACTTGTACGCACAATTTAAGAACAAATCTGTGCGTACAAACGGTTCTTGCACGAGGCCCATTGTTCTTATCTATTTCTGCTCATAACTTCCTCAGTGTTCAAGATATCGCCATGAAACTTTAGGAAAATTTCGCATTCTGGTTTTTATAGGAAACATCTTGTATCCTAAAAACTAATAAAACTTAATAATAGCCAATTCAAAAGTAGCAGAAAAGGTATAAAATAATATTACAAGGCAAACTGCAGCATCAAAGCAACTTCATGCGTCTTAGAAAGTAAGGAAATTAAAACAATTTAAAAACCATGTGGACATCTGTTTTGTAAACAAAGCTTTTCAACCAATGACAGCGTGTGAAATGTGTCAGGTGACGAAGACGAGCATCAACACACTTTGCAACAAGCGCTGTTCCAGATTTAAAAAGGCATACTTCGACGTTTCAAATCATTAAATTTGGAACAAGAGCAGATAAAATAATGTTCTTCGTGGCAGCTTAAGGGGTTTACTTTGATCCTATTTTCAAAACTGTGTTTCTTCAAAACGCTTCAACAAAAATTAAAACTTGAAGAAGAGGCTAACTACCTGACGTCAGCACGCTTTGTTGAAATTCGAAGAAATAATGAAGCAGGAGGAAATTATAAGCAAACGCACAGAGCAGCCCCGCAAAATCTGGTCGCAGCAGTTTGGGAAGAAAATGTCAGCATCCCTACTATCTATGGGACAAATATCGTTCATTGTATAGTTTTAGTTGTATGTCACCTGAGACGGCGAGGAACTAAAATGTGTGAGGAACTGGGTGAATGTAACTAAAGCAACAATGGCTGTGGATCTAAATTGGACGCGGTCTACTTCTCAAACTCTGTGCCCATGGGCAGTTTGTACAACAAAGCACAAACATTTAGTAAAACATATCAAGTCAAACAATTGGAATTGTGTTTTTATCTTGGGGAATAGTTACAGTGGTTCAGTCTAAAAATAAAAAGCACACATTTGTGGGCTTCAATGGCCTTACACAAGTCACTTACTGCCTGTGTTGCAGCCATGATTTTGAATTAACACCACCCACCTGCCAAATGCTTCAAAACTGTGGATACTAGCTGAAAATGTTGCCGGTTTGGTACATGTAGTGCAGGTTTGAAAAACCTCACATGCATTAAAACATGTAAATTACACAAATATTATTTTAAATTGGTATGAATATGACTGCACACAGACTAAAGCATCTTGGCTTCCACACACTTGAGTGTCTGCAGACCCACTGAACCCCGCGTCGCTTTACATCTAATTGGTTAAGAAAATCACTCTAAATCTTTTAAATAATTGCCACAAAAAGTTATATAACTGTGGTTTATTAACACGTTTTCAGTGCCAAATTTTATAAAACTGATCAAATTCCAGACTAACAGCCATTCTATTTATCCACCGAGCTCTCTGTTTATGCCTGTTTTTTTTTTTCAGCCAGTCTAGTCATTAGGAACAGTCTTCTGAGCGGCTTCTTGAGAAATTAGGGCAAAGAAGGATGGCAGTTATTTGTGATTTCCTTTCCTGACAGTGAATCAAGTATTTTCAGTGTTGCAACAAAAATAGTCTCCCTGTGAGTGACATGAAAGTAGAGTGAAAGGAGATTTTGGAGGGATTCTGCATGTAGACAAATCCTGAAAGGGAAACGAGGGCTGACTACAAGGTTCCATGATGCTGCTGTCAGCTTTGAGTTTAAGGTACAAATGACTCAATGTGCAAATATATATGCATTAAAATTATTGAACATTTTATTAAGAAATGTTCAATATATTTTCATTTTTCCTATACAGCTTTTAAAAATTATTATACATCAAAAGTTTCATGCATTTTTAAAGTTTGAATTCAGTTATTTTTCTTTAAAGTGCCTGCATCATCAAATTATTGCAATAAATTTGAATTTCTTTTGGAAAGATAACATTGATAACATGTTGTAAAAAAAGAAAAGATTTCACGCTGGTGAGATGAACAGTTGCTGAGATATTTGCATGTGAAGTAACAGGATGTGATGTCAAAGGGGAATGTCTGAGTATGAACAGACCTTCGCTAAAATGGCCAACAACACAGACTGTAGAAAAGAATCTGATGTTTCTTTAGATTATTTTAATCACGATCATAGAGAGATGAGGAAGAGTCAGAGTTGAAATAATATTGTTAAAATAAACAAAAACCAGGGAGTTTTCTTTCTCAAAGAGTTCCCGTTTAATGT